GAGGAATTCAGAATGGAAATTAAAATTGCAGGATGAGTGTGAGCAACTTTAAACTATGGGTTAGATAACATGAATATATACTAGTTCAGCTTAGCATTTGAACTGGAGAATGACACTGAATAAAATTCCTTTTGCTGCAGTTTCTCAGGTTTAATTGTGACAAAGCATTAACAACATTACGAGATGCTTGCTTACTGCTCTGGGATGATGCATAATTATGAATATTTTTTTCCTTAACTTGCCATGTGATGAATATCTGAGGAGTAGAAGTTGAGGAGACATTACATAACTAAAGACCTGGCTACAAAACACAAGACACAGAGACACAGGTTTAAGGGTCCACTTTGTAGGCCAAAACTATGTGCCTGTATGGCTTTGGAATAAAATTAGAAGTTGTTATTGGAATGTTGAAGTTACTTAAAATGCTATTTATATTATAGATCCAGAAAGAAAATAGTATCTTTAACAAATTAGAGGCTTTTCTCATTTTTCCCTGTATTTTTATTTTGGGATTAAAAACAAAATCTCATTATCCTGTCTTTACATACTTTGAGTATCTGGATAGTATACATAAAATTAAAAAGGAAACTAGTCAAGGAAAATTGGGTTTTACCCTCTGTAACTCTGTACTTGTAAAATATATATTTAACCCTGCTTTTCTTGGTGGTAGTTAGGATTAACTGAGTTGCCTGGAAATTATTTACTGCCAATTTGTTAGCTGTCATTTTCCATTATATAAAACAACAATCTTGGATGCTCCTGATTTTCCATAAATATCATCTTGATTGTAATTATCCTCATATGTTTATGTGAGCTACTTATAATATTCTTTCTTAATATGGATTGGCTCATTCTTGCAAATTGTTCTTCAGAAGGAAAAAGTTAAGCAGCAGAGCAAAAGGAGCAGCATCTGTTAGGAGTGTTAAGCCTAAAAGAGCTAAACAAGATGCAAGGATTTGCCCAGGTAGGATTTAGTGTAGGAACAAGACCCAGGGTGTTTCTCTGTTCCCTTAGACGTGCTTGGAATGATGACTGACCTGATGGAGGACACAGTTTAAGGAAATCCCTAGGTCAGTGCTGGTAAAGAGAAGGAATTACAGGGTTGTATTGTCACTGGGTTATCATGCAAGAATAAATCCATGATGAGTCTGGAAAACCTACTCTCTGTGTACTCATTGCTACTTGCTGGGATACAATCACATCCAGTTCTTGTAAGGCTGCTGGCAAGGCTGGGAAATAATACGTATTTTTATGTAAAGGAAATAGCCTTCCTATTGCTGGCTTTTTAAAACAGAGTAAGGCTGAAAAGTATCTGGTCCATAAAATGGAAGAAATGACCTTCTAATCCCTTTACTCCAAGTGCCTATCCAGCTAACAACTACCTGTTTTGTTTTTTTCAGAATGATGACAACTTCTTAAATATTATTTACGAAGCATATCTCTTCAGTGTGAGAAAGGCAGCCATGAAGAAGGCTATGTGAAAGATGATTTATTTTTTTTTTAATTCAATTTCCATTGCTTCCTGAACTCCAGGAAAAAAGATTTCGAAATTTTCAAGTATGTTTATGTTTGAAGAAGTGAATGGTCTTGGGCATGTTGCATACACGTGGATTTTGCACGTTGGCAAAGACATGCTGTACTGAGGAAAAAAAGATTGGAAATGGATTGTGCCTTTAGTGAGGGGAGCATCACAATACTGAAGACTTAATCACAAAATATCTTAAATTATTTTTCTTATCTTGATCCACGCTTAGAATTGGTTTCCCTGCATAAGGACTCAGTTCTCGGGATCCAGTTTCCCTTTTTTTACTTGCAGTGTGGTCATTCATTGACTGGGTATTTTTGTCCTGGATTTTCCCTGAGCCGTCCTGTGCAGCTGTCCCGGTGAACGTGCCCATCCCTGACCACATGGTGGCAATGTTGGACTATTTTTAGGAACGGGTGAAAATCCGGGTGAAATCATGGAATGGAAAGTCTCGGGAAGATTGATCATCGTACTTAGTTGTCTGCAAAGCAGTTTAGATGAAGTGTCATGACTTCCCCCAAAATTTTTGTAGAAAAATCTTTTTCTATTTTGACAAGAATATTTTTAGCTAGATGTAGAAGTGGGATTCTGCAGGTGTTTTGAGGAATTGTGGGGGGGTGGGTTTGTGAATGTACTTGCTATCACATAGCTCTGGGGTTGCACTGGATTCATGTTTCTATTATTCCAGGCCCAATCTGCATTATTATAAGCAATGTGAAAATTTGTTAAGGGGAAGACTACCTGGTGTAAAAATCCTATTAAATTTTTTTTAGCGTGTTCCTGGAGCACAGTGATTTCATTGATCCATTTCTTAAGAAAATAAAAAGGATAATCCCTACTGTGTGTTGATTTCATTTTATTGTACCATGGACTATGTATTTAGGATTGTTGGGTCTCTTGTTTGTATGACTTGAAAAGGTTTTTATGCTTGTCAAGAAGACACATGAGATCTTAAATCAATTAGAATAAATGACTGAAATAATTTTTCACTAGCATCTGCTGCTGAAGTGCCAGTTTACTACACTTTAGGAACACACAGTTGTTGCTGAAGAGGCATTTCTTTTGTGGGCACAGAGAACCCAAACTGCAAGCCATGAGTGATTCTACAGTCTTCTTTACTGTGGGCATTGATGTAGGCACAACTCATTAGCCTCATCTGTGAAAGTTCTTCATGTAAATTTGGCTGCAGGTTTCAATTAGTGCAGTTGTAATGATTCAAACAGTTGCTCCTGCCCCCATACCCATGCAAGGATGGGGGGGAATTCACTCTCTTTCTTTGGGAAAGGCTCTAAATCGATAGTAAAAAATCAAGTCAAGAGCTATTTTCTTTATTCACATAAGCCAATAACCCCAAGAGACTCGTGCCCACAAAGCTGCCAGACTTTCCCTTCACTAAGTAACTGGCAGACAGCAAGTCCTACTCTAGTTCCATTTTGTTACCAAATTGCTTCCAATTCTTGCAGATTCAGTGAAAGGAACATGTTGAGCAGATACCAGGAAAAGCAGACTTCAAAGATAGCAAGGCCTAATTCTAATCCTGCAGCCTTCGTCATTTATGTGGCCATATAATTTGTGGGATTCTACTGAGTTAATTGGTATTATTTCTGAATGAACTGGTGTGGAAGAAATTGCAGTTTACACAAAAGGGTTTGAAACTAAATACATGCCTAATTGGTGTCTGTGATGTTGGATTATCTGAGAGTGCAATTTAAAGATGATGGGGACACGTAGTTAATACCTCATTTGACATATAGAACTTCTTTAATTGGTGGCTAAAAATAATCCTTAAGCATTTCAAGCTGTGTTTGTGATAGGTTTTCTACTCATGGGGGAAACATTTTTATTTACAAAAAGGCAAGTAAAAATTTTAAAGACCTCTTTATTTATTGCTTTTCAGAGCAATTTACAAAAATTAAAGGCATATTTTTTAAAACATCTTTTAACTCTTGATGCCTATGAGAACTGTAGTATTGGCATTACACTTGACAAGCTGAGGCTTAAAGGATTGAGCTAATTCAGGGTTTCTTTTCACTGCCCTCTTTTCTGGTTACATCTACACCAAGTAACACTGGCAGAGTTGGATTGCTCTCTCTGTATTATGCTGTAAGGGATTTCTGAGATTGTTCATGAGCCATAAACTTGCCTCTTGTGGAAAGTAGTTGCTAAAGAAGGGAGGTGCTGTTATAGCTCACTGTCATGCTTACCTAGAACAACAGCAATAAGAGAATAGAACAAAGTCAGAAAGAAACTCTGAATTTTATGGCAAGGAACAGAAGAGGAGTAGTGAGAGAATTCTGTTGAGAAATAAAGACAAACTTCATGTTTAGGTTTCCATCTCAGATGGCAGAATCTGCTGCTTCAGATCCATTTGGGAATTGAAGACTGAACGTGGAGTGTAAAATGAGCTGCGCCCCTTTCTCTCTTCTTTCTACTACAAACTGAAGTATCTGTCTCAGAAAAAGGCTTTTTCCAGAAATATAGTCAGAGACTTCCAGTACTGTGGAAACCTGGAGGATTCTCACTAAATACTGAAAACCTAATCTCTGCCTTTTGGTATTGTGGATTTTTAGCAGGTTTGTATCAGCTGGTGCTGTCTCTATGCAGCACCAAAAAGGTTATTTTGGGTTTGATAGATCACCTCTGAATACAGTGGTTGTGAACCCTCAGGTTCCCCTACTTTATTTTATTTTATTGAGACATGGTTGGAGCTCTTAAGATAACGAGGCCTTTTGAGAAGAAAAGGGTGCAGCAGTTGGGATTGCCTTACTTTGGGCCTGGTTTTTTACCTGTATAAGGAAAAAAGGTAGCAAGCAGAAAATTGGAAAGTGTGTAAGGATCACATTAAGTGCTTTAAATGATTCCACAGAAGGTATATGCAATATTTTTAGTGTCTGTATATTTCTTAATATAGTGCTTGCTTTGGGTTGGTTGGTTTGGTTGTTTTTTTATTTATTTCCAGTAGAATTAAATAACTTGCAAATTGTGGCTTAGCAGGAATTCCAGGAGTTGCAGCAGTGCTTTTATGCATTAATCCCAGATTCAGCCTTGAACTGATATTACTTTTCAGTGTAGTTCCACTTAACCACTGTCCACTTGCTCAGAAAATTCCACACCTTTAAAACTAGAATAAGAAATCAAGGAGTAGAAAGCCAGTGAAAATACTGCAGCATAATTTCTGTCAGTGTTTATCATGGAAATCCATAATATTCATTGAAGGAATCCAAGTATTTTCTCACAGAAAATTCAAACCCTCAGTATGATTTTTATTCAGTAGTGCTCTGTTGCTCCTCTGTTTACTCCTTCCTGTAGCTGCAAAGGTTACAGACCGTTCAGAGGCTGTAACGAGGTTCTTTTAGAGAATTACTTCGAAGGCAAGATTAAGGCAAAAAACTCCAAATGTTAGGTCTCAAACAGACAATTAACTTTATTTGTAACAATAAGTAACGGTAAAAGCGAGGAGGGGGGGAGAAGAAGAGGGAGAGAGAAGGAAAAGGAAAGGCTACAAAGCACCACCAGTGAGAGAAGCGGGTGTAGTCAGCTCCAGGCTGTCAGGGAAGGACCGCTGGAGAGAAGCACGTGGTGACTGAATCCAAGACAAGCAGGAGACGCAGGCAGGTGGGACGGAGCGAGGAGACCCTGGGCAACACCGACGGGACTGGACCAGTCAACAACACTGGGCACTGCCTTAAATACCCCCCGGGGGACGCTCACTGGCCAGCCTGGCTCCAGGCAGATCTTTTCACGATGTCGATTGGTGATGCTGCCGGTATCCAGGCAGGCTGGCTCTGGCAAGGCGGGAAAATGTAGCAACTTTCTGTTGTAGACTCTCCAGGGTGCCAGCGAGCAGTGCAAAATGCCCCCCTAGGTCGATGAAGACAGCCCCGCTAAAAGCTAGAGTCGGTGTCCCCCATTATGCTCGGTCGCTGGGCTCCGGGGAGGCTCCTGGGAGCCTCCAAAACTCACCCTTGGCACGTCCCTCAGCTGATGGAAGTGGCTTCGTTAGTGTGAGGTGGTTAAACGCCTTAAATGCAGCTTGTGCAACTTTAAACGGCTTCGAAGAAGCCTTGCCCAAGGCGTTTAATTGCCCCATGAACACCTCTGGCAGAGCGGCCAGTTATCAGCTGTTCATTACAGCGGTCAATGTAAAAACAAAGAAGCCAGTCAGAGATGGAACAATCTCTTACAAATGGGAGTAATTAAGATGGTACGGCAAAATAAAATTTTCCAGGAGCAGGATGCAGCTCAACAGGCAGGATGCTTCATCTCCTCTGACAGCGTATTTAGAACGTGTTGAGCTCTGAATTTCAGTCATAAAAGTGGAGGGGATTGGAGATATCTTAGTCCCTTTAGGACACATTAAAATCATGGTTCAATATATTAGCAAACTTGGAGATCTTTGCTGAGGAAAAGGCAAAATTAAAAGATATTTTTCAGTAAGTACAAAAAAATTCGGGGGATGAGGGAAAACCCGGACTGGATTTTTTCCAAAGTACGGAATGGAGAAAACCAGGACTGGATTTTTCCGAAGTACGGAATAGGAAAAAAATCGGACTGGATTTTTCCAAATTATGGAATGGGGATTTTTCCAGAGTACAGAGTGGGGAAAAAAACTGGACTGGATTTTTCCAAAGTAAGGAATGGGGGGGAAACCCAGACTGGATTTCAAAAAAAAAAAAAAAGAAAAAAAAGAAAAAAAGAAGAGTTGGACTTGATGATCTCAGAGGTCCTTTCCAACCTGGCTGATTCTATGATTCTATGAAAATGTTATGAGAAGGCAGCTTTACCCAGGGAGATTCATGACACCTAGAAACAGGCAAAATTTTAGGCCTGGAGATGAATAATGTACTAAAAAATTAATCCTCAGTCAACTTCTAGTAAACTTTACTGCTAATTCTGATGACTTTTAAGAGACACTTCCAAGTCCTTGCCTTTTCCAAAGTGCTGTGAATTTCTCTAACAAGCGTCTTCTGGCCTTTAGATATAAATCTGTGCACAGCTGAGCTGGAAATATAGGAGGAGGGAGCTTGGCATATATACAAGCAGCAAGTGGAAAATGGGGTTCTGCAAGACACTGAAGAAGCAAAGGTTGTAGCCCATCCCAACCACCCACTCCTGGCTGCTCATCCCTGCTCCCACACTAGTCTTTCCTGCCTTTTGCATTAATTTTTCTCCCTTTTTATTTTAAGATGGCTACATGTTGCAGCAGAATTAGTCCAGGCTAAGACTTCTGCCGTGCCAAGGTTGGTTTTAGTGTATATGAGCTCAGAGGGCAGCAGCCCAGGAGCCTGGATCAGTGTATGGCTGGGATGTGCAGGGGTTAAGTAGGGGGCATGTGGGGAGAGGAAAGTGAGGCAGGAGATGTGAGCTGTGCTACTGCATTAAACTGATTGAAGCTTTTGTGAAACTGGGGTGCAAAGGCCCTTTGCCCCTTTGCTGACATTGAGACTTGGATGGTGGCACCAAGACCAAAATGTGACTTTGTTGTGTCCCCTGCCTTGGCTGTCTGTGGAAATCCTTGGGAATGTTCGCAGATACCCTCACAAAGGGTAACTACAGACCATGAGCCTGATCTCACCGCAGACCAAGCAGAAAGACAGGGTCCTTTTGAGGGCAAGTCTCAGTACAAACCTAATTTAGCTTGAGAGATTACAGTGTCTGGGCTAAAGTTAGCCTTCCCCACCACCACCATCTTGTACTGACCAGTACTGGCATGACAGCCAGACCCTACCTTTCCTTGGAATACAGCAGATGTTGGGATGAATATTCCTTTTATTTTTTTTTTTTTTTTAATTTAATGGAGGTTGTACCATCAAACCAGGACAGACTGTTCAGATATAAATCTGCCCAGCATGGAAGTGAATGTGAAATGCAGGAACCAGAATTCTTTTGTAGGGGTAGCTGAAAAAAACTACTGAAACAAGCAGGAAATAAGCTC